CTTTCAGCAGATGAATATGAAAACATCCTTCTAGTGTCAATGTCTTCACATACATCATTCTGCACAGATCCAACATCCAACTGTAGGAATGAGAAGAAAAACATATTTTTGACTGGAGGGCGACTTTAATGTTTCAGCTTTCCGAGTAGATGGCAAAAACCCTCTGTTCTTCCTTATGGGAAAGCAAAAACGTACTGTAACAGAACCAAATGAATGTAGATGAAATGTAGAAGAACTTCCCTCCTTCACTAACCGGTGACTAATGATGTTTTTTACTAAGACTTCTTCACAAGGAGGCGGAGTGTTAATCATAGAACAAATAACCACACAACTATCTCTCATAGACCAAGAATTATTCACAATTACCAACACATCATTAGTAACAGTAAGATATACAGTATATTCAAACAACATTTGGCTATTACAAAGCCTACCAACAGTAACATACAAGGGAAGTACTGGGGATCTATAATGAGGATCTTTTTCTGACAACAAAACTGTAAGTTGAGATTTTAGCCAGTAGTCAGTCTGTTGACAAAGAGCCACATCATCAACATAAATAAGTGTATAATTAGAGTTAATTAGAAATAAAGGACATTTAAAGTTCAAAATTTCACCAAGTGTTATTGTTCTTGCCTCAACATGGCACCAATAGGGTGCAGTATGATTACTGTGAGAAACACACTGCCCACATGCAGACGCTCACACTAGTCAGATGTCTGGCTCAGTCCAGAGCTGTAATCAGTAACCAGATATATTTGGGGATTTCAGTGTGAATAAAATGACTCTGAGCTTGCAGAAAATGTGATATTTTTACTAGTTACTAGCTATGTTTGCAGACAAATACTGTTCTTAATTCAAAATGTTGGGACTCTAGGAAAGCCATTAAAATGTAGGAAAATGGATTTATGTAATAAACAAGTGAACACTCCTCTTGGCACAGACTGCCAAGAGGAGGTTATTACCATGTAGAACAATAGTGCCAATAAATAAGTTGTCTTCATTGTACCGCTGGGTTAACATGAACGAGGAGATGCACCAACAAAAATATGGAAAAACTGTTAGATCTTTATAAGCCTGTCAGCTCTATATTGGTGTGAAAATGTAATTTGCGTTTGTGTAAGGAGGGAGGTGAAAAAAGAGTCAAAGAGGAGTTGAACAGATTGTGTGAAAATAAGATCAGTTCAAGGCGTGGTCTTTGTTCCCAGATCTAGTTATAAAATTCTGTACAATCATTTCACACACAGCGAAGTCAGAGGGAAAAAGGTCAAAGTGAGTCCCAAAATTCTTGCTGCTATCAAGATTGTGGAGAATCAATTTTGTGTGCTTCTGTGGTCTTTTGAGGCAAGATCTCTTGTGAGAGCCAAGTTAATTTGGATGAAAAGAATTTGCAGCACAGCTTGAAAACCTTTAAAGCAAACGATGCTGTACATCCTTCCCACCCAGTAACCAGCTTACCCCGATCTCTTTTTAAAGTTTTATCTTGTAAGGTTATCGAACTAAAATCATAGGAATCTCTGTTTGTCCTTTGATCATTTTTAGACACGTGTTCATCTGATTGACTTGACTTGCGTGTATTGCTGAGGACCCATTGAAGTGCAGTGTCGAGTGTTCGCTCGCAACCTCCAATGAATAATGTCAGCCTACTCTTTGTAATGCCTTGGGAACCAGCTTTTACATGGCGTAGCTGGCTACCTTCAGCATGAATTCATGAATGTATTAATTGTAATGATGTTGAGGTAAAGATTTCATTAATTCACTGTTAAATCTGGATGAAGAACTTCTTAAGAGTTAGATTTCAATGTCTCCCGCAAATGCTGATAACAGTACTTAAATTTGTTAATTGCGAATTTTGAATACATAAAAGGGTACATTTTGCTTGTGTGTCTTTGGCCCACATTCAGTCAATTAAAAACAAAGTTTTAAACAGTAATGCTAATCATTATTATATACTTCTGTCTAAAACTGGTGGCGATTGCTGCAGTCTCAAATATCTGATCTTACAACAGCTTTTCTAAACTTCCAATGCATGTTCTGATGTTTTGACATTGGAAACAAAAAAAAAAACCAAAGGCAACTTGTTCCAGTAAGAATAAAATCTTTAGTAGTTTGGTGATGTATGGCTGAGCGTTTGGCGTGGTAGACTGTTATGATCAGTGAAATTTACATGAAACTACAATGATTGGTCAAATTTGTAGCAGCAAGATCGCACAGAATTCATGGGGATTGGTTGAATTTGCATACATTTTTGCGATCACAACATCCTGGAGGAACTGAAAACTGGGGGTCTAAGCTGCTGCCTCTAGAAGTGCACGGGCTCTCCGGTTCTGCAGGTCGATTACACTAAGCTTCAAGCATAGCAATACCAGAGGCCCAGCAATCTGAACAGACACCGTTTGAATGGGCACTAGTGAAAATAATTAGTCACAGAACACAGATTTTTATTACAGTTTTTTATTACATCAGTCAGTGCTGTGGGCATTGTATGTGTGTGTCCATTAGCGCTTTCATGCCAGCGTATCAACAGTTCTCTTGGTGTGCACATTATCCATTGGATCATCTAATAGCTTGTTTTAATAGCTGCTGGTCAGTCTGAGGCGCCGACCTCCCAGTGGACACGTAGCAGCTTAGGATAACCCTCTCATCTCTCTCTTTTGTTGTCAGCAGCTTCCTCCTCCTCCTGTGATCCTTATAGTGGCTCTTGTTACTACACATCTTCTTTCAGCTGTGGTCTGTTTAGAGATTAGAAAGAGTGAGTGGAGGATGGGAGAGGGGGCTCGGCCAGCTCACCAGGGAGCAATTAGCCTCCACCCTCATGGCTGCTTTGATGAGCTGCCCAGGCAGGAGTTTGAAATGTAGACGCTGTGGAGGGGATGTGTGTCAAAGCGCTACTGTTGACTTGAGTTAGCAAGTAAAAAATAGCACAATAAAGCTAAAAACAACACATTTAACACATAAATGTGTTAAAGCAGAATTTGACAAGATAGCACTGTCATCTGTTAATAATATCGAATAAAACCAATTTATCACCACTTTAATACCAGTCAAATATATTTTTTGCACAATATGACACCCACACAATCTATAAGCATTAAGATTTTCTCTCCCACATTTTATACATGTACAGTTTTTGACATTTCCAGACTAACAAAAACATATTTTACATACGTACATTTTAACTGTTCATTCAACCAAACAAAGATTGTAAGCTTATTGTATTTGAATGAACTCGGTGAAGCATTATCCTTTTTTTTGGCCTGCAGCTAAAGGCTTTTTATTGCTGATTAATCAAGCAGTAATTTTAGCAATCGACTGATTAACCAATCTGTCTATGAAATGTCAGATAATAACCAACTCCAGATGGTATTAGAGCCTAAAGTGATTTGAGTTTAAAACCTGCTTATTTCATCTGAACTAGTCAAAACTCCCCAAAACCATTCAGTGCACAGTGAAATGAAACTAAGCTGCTGATGTTTTTATTATAGTAGATAAATAACCTTAAATGATTAATCAAAAACATCATCAGTATAGTATTTTGTGGATCCACTTATTGACTTGTTGACTAATCATTTCAGCAGTGTCTGTCCATAATAAGGCCTTCTGTTGGTGTGTTGGTCAGCTGTGTTTTCCCCGTCCAAGAGTCTCTTAATGCACTCAGTTGCCACAGATACAGGATGATTAGAGGCAATTTACTGTGTTAGCTGTTTTTACCAGGAGGGACTGCACAAAGGACTGATTCTACTGACACGATGATCATTTTCTTCGTATCGCATTTATGCTGTTTATGATTATTATTGTAGGAAAATGGTTCCCATGAAATATTTAATTTGACTAAATAAGTTGAAAAGGAGTCTCCCTGCTTTGTGTCTCATACTGAATCTTTCATTCTTTTATTTATATGTGCGCAACAGTGATAAACAAATTTCCCAAGTGTGGGATAAACAAAGTATTGTTTGTAACACTTCATTTCAGAGACATTTGTCACTGCAGAGAAAAGTGGCACACTGAGGATAGACTGTATCTCTGAACAGTGTAAGTCTATTGTCTAAGATAGCAAAGGTTTCTTTGCATTTTTGCCAACTGAGACTAGTTAATCCGAAATGATGAGAGAGTAAGGAGGATGATCTATATTGGGAGACCTTTTAATGTTACGCTTTGTTCTGACATTTAGCTTCTTGCTCTTATAATGATGTGCGAAGAGAAGCAGTTCAGACAGATAAAGAGCAAAATGCAGGAAGAGAGGGAGGAGAAACAAAGATGCAGAGAAGACGATGAGGACACATTTTAATTTAAAAAACAAAACAAAAACTAAAGGTTTGATGGGTGTGATGAAGCAAAACCCTGTTAACAGGGATCTGTAGCAGCAGCGGTGGTGGAGGAAGTGACAGATCTGGAGAGTGACAGGATGAATGCAGGAAGAGAAGCTGTATTTGAACAAGTGAGGATGATGGAAAGAGAGAGATCGCGATGCTGATGAGCTGCCGCCCGCCCCTCCCTCCGCTCATCTCTCCCAGAGCTCGATCGCTCCATCAACAGGGGTTGCCATGGCAACCCCAGCCTCCCCCCTGACCCCATGTGAACAGAGCCACAGGATTAGTCCTGAAAGAGAACTCAAATGTCAACACAGCTCCAGGCACTGCCACGTAGGCCTGAGAGAGGAGAGGGGTGTCTGTTTTTCTGCACAGTCGAGTGACTGTGCAAGTGTGTCGTCATGTCATTGACTTGTGTGTCCACTACAGATCATCGTGTCTAATGCAAAGATTATTATGTGACGGCATGAATGAATTAAAAATTAAAATCCATTTAAGAAATATGCAGTCTTCAACCTAGCAAACAGTGAAAACGCCTTTCCTAAAAATGTAGCAACGTTGTTTGATTATGTATTATGATGTATTTATATACTGTAGTATTCTCTCATTCAGACACAAGAGACAAGCCGCATTCTTCATTTCAAATTTAAATGCACAACGTGTAACAGTATGTACAGACACTTAGATATAGTAGACATGCACTGTGTTGCATATGGTGTTGAAACTCACTTGACATCTGACATGCAGGAGCAGATCTAGAGAAATATTCATGAGGTGGCCAGAGGGTGGCATGGAGACTTTAAGGGGTTGCGGAAATATGCTGATTTAATCTCGAATAATCACATATATGAATATTTGCTTGGAAAAGCCTCCAAAATGAAGATATTTGAAATGAAAAACATTACATTGTTGTGGCACATTAGTGAAGCGTTGAATAGAAATATCTAAAGGCAACATTAGAAATCAATAAATTGTTTTATTTCCAAATCTTCAAACATTTTTCCAAATATAGGTCTTTTCCATTGAACTTAAGCCTCGTTTAGTCTAAAATGTGGTTATAACAGATCAATTTAAAATTAATCGAAATTAATATGTTAAATTTGACAGTATCTGACACCGCACTCGGGTGGCCAGGTATTTTTTCAGAGGTGGCAGCTGCCACCCTGTGCCTCCCATCTACTTCTGCCCCTGCTGACATGTTGGTCACAGCAGGACTGACACTGAGTGGATTATCCTGGTGGAAAAAAAAATTTAAGTAGATGTGTGACATGCTATTATAAAAGAACATATTAGATGCCACTGTCATAAAATGTATTTTATTGTACACAATCTTGCTGTGCTACTCAATATTTTTATATTAACAATGGGTAAAATTACTCTCTAATATGAAAGCTTTATGGAGTGCTTTGGCATATGTTTGCTTGTTGTTTTGGTTCTGCCAGCCACAAATTTATTGTATTAAGAGATATTTTTCCCTGTAAGATAAGATCCCCAGTGACGAAATTTGGTTTTAAGTAGTTGACCAAAATAAAGCTAAAAGGAGATTAAATATTGGACCTGAATTTATCAAGTGGTTAGAGGCATGACTCCAAACGAGTACTAATGTTGCTCCATCTCTGCTGGATGTACAATAAATAAGCAACTTTTTCCAGTGTTTGTAGCTTCCCCCAAGTGACCAAAGATAGTCTATTATTACTTCTGACAAGGATGTTATGTTTTTGGAGCAGTTTGTGGGTTTGTCTGTTGGCAGGATTACAGAAAAACTACAGGGCAGATTAACATGAAATTTGGTGGGAGGGTGAGCATGGGTCAAGGAAGGACCCATTCAATTTTGGAATGGATCCAAATCACAGGGTGGATAATTATTTTTCACTTACCTGTGCATCATAATAGAAGTGAAAGGTGTGCTGTGACTAAAATACAAAAAAAGAAAAAACATAACAGCATCCTCAAACATGACTAGAAACATGTAATGTGACTTTTCTGGATTAAATCAGAATTACAGGTTTTCCGACCTGTTGCAATTAAAGTGAATGGTGTGCAGGTTTGGGCATCATACTTGCACTTTTTGTGTGGCCAGGGTGCAATTTGCTAACATAATACGAACAATTAAACATATTCTGTGCTACAAAATGTGGCTGTTGGTTTCTCTTTGTGCTTTGGCTCTTTCTTATTATTTGTTACTGCAATGATTTTGTCGTGTCCTTAATTGTTTTGCTGTTCTGGCTTACAGTATTAGTAAATTGAGTATAAAAGAGTATAATTTATCTTTTCCAACCATGTGTTTGTGGCCACACAGCTGCAGTGGAGGCATGTGTTCTGCATGGGCTGAAACGTCGGGCAGCGGGCTTTCTGCGCAGCAACAAGATAGCGGCACTCTTCATGAAGGTGGGGAAGAGCTTCACCCCGGCTGAGGAGCTGTGTAGGAAGGCCCAGGAGGTCGAGCAGATCATCGAGACAAAGTGAGAGACGCGCACATCACAGCAGACTTCAAAGTGCACATCAAAGCCTTGTGCGAAAGCACTGAAAACAAATGGCTGTCTGCTTACTTGAAGGGCTATTTTTTTTTTTATATGAAAAGCTTCTAAATAATTCATGTTTATAAGCTTTTATGAATCATGAATCACTGATGCCATTAGCTTCATGCAGATGCAGTTTTACTTCATGTTACAATAAAACTCTCCTACAGACGAAGTCAAAGCTTGCAAAGTCAGGACAGCCTTCGCAAGATGCCCCGACTGCCCAGCCTCACCCCACAGGGAGTCAGGAACCTGTGGATCCGGACGGCTCTATTCGAGAAGGTGCTGGACAAGATTGTTCTCTACCTGGTGGAGAACAGCAGGTACGTTGAGAAGGGCCAGTGAATGTCTGTTCAATTATTTGTGTTACAAGAAGTCTATGTCCCCTCAAAATTCCCCTTTTAACATTTGTATTCCAGTAAATACTACGAGAAAGAGGCTGTTCTAATGGACCCTGTGGATGGACCTATCCTTGCCTCTTTGTTAGGTAATCACATGTGACATCTGTGTCTTTTAATGTAATCATCTAGCTTGGGTTCATGTTTGAATGAAAATGTCAGTATCTTATACAAGAATAGGAGTGCTGACAAGTCTGTTCTGCAGCAGCAAGGACATGGTCCCTCACTGGCTTCCCACCAGTGAACTTCTGAAATTCTTTTTAATGGCCCTGAGCCAGAAGCACTGCTGCTGGGGACTGAATTTGGGTCTCAGCTTGATTTACAAGACAGGAAAATAAGAAAAAAAACATTTCTGGCACTGGAATTATTTTGGCTATTATGTAAATTTAGTTTTTAGTTTAGTTTTTGCTTGTGATTTATTGGATTATTTTGTGTCTTTGAGTCCCTTAAAAGTATTTTAAAAAACCTATTTTAAGGGATAACAGGCCAAAATGGTTCTGAACTATAATAAGAATTGTTTATACCTTCATGGTGGATCAAAAGAAAGATCACCTTAAGCCTATTATGGTACATCTCTGAAAAATCTACCTTTTCAGTACAAAGATATACCGCTTCTACTCAACCATGTTTAAGATAATCTGATGCCAACCATTAGTTAACTAAATTGTCTGCACTGTGTAACTGTTCCCATTCATTGTGACAGTGGGACCTTGTGCTTTGGAGTACACCAAGATGAAGACAGCCGACCACTTCTGGACGGACCCGTCTGCTGACGAGTTGGTGCAAAGACATCGTATCCATGGTGGCCACTGCAGACAGGATTCTCCCACTAAGAGGCCTGCACTGTGTGTAAGTATTAAAACTGGTTGCACATGAGCCTTGGAAGTAGGAGTGCTGAAGGGGGGCTGCAGCACCCCCTAAATCTGCATTAGTTCATAAAAATATTCAAACTTACAACGACCTCCAGGAAAGAGGTTTTACCTTCAGTTTTATCTGAAAAAAACTATTATATATTGCAAATTATCCTCGTTATTCAAATGAATGCAAAAAACATTAATGTCATGTATTTAGCATTTAGTATGACATCATTAGACTGACTGTCTCAGCACCCCCAACTCTGACTGACTTCCAGAGTTCCCACTAGTGCAGGATTAACATCAGGCTCCTTATCTTGTTTATAGAATATATTTATTTTGCTCTATTAGTAGGCAGATAGAGTTTTAGTGCTGCGTCTGATCAGTTACATTCCCCTCTGAGATGCTCTCTGTCTGATTGAAGAGGAGCTGCTAGGATTACAGTGTAAAGTGAAACACAGCACGTCCCAGGAGAAAGAACAGAACGTATCTGAGACCTTCACACTTCAGTTCAGTCTTCAAGTTATCAGTGAACCAGGTCAACTCGGCCTAACACCACAATACTTACAGTCGTGTGGTGTTATGTATTTGTGTGTGTGTGTGTGTGTGTGTGTGTGTGTGTATTTCGTGCAAAAGTAGACTGGTCTTTGGCATCAGGAAGAAAGGAGGATGCACTGGTGCACGTGAATGAACGTTAGATTCCTCATTTGAGACAGATTTTATTCATGGGAAATGTCTGTACTGTGACTAGCCGGCTGTAATTCATTCGACAAAACTAGTCATCATTTGGTTTAGTTTATTTTGTTGTCTGATTTTCATATATTTTCTGTCTGTGTCGTGCAGATCCAGAAGCGGCACTCCAGCAGCAGCATGGATGAACGCCCCTCCCCATCACCATCAGCTCGTGAATATGTGGAATCCCTGCATCAAAACAACAGGGTGACCCTACTGTTTGGCAAAAACAATGTGCTTGTACAACCGGTAACTGTCTGATTCCTCTTAATCGCTCATAGATGTATAGAGACGACACTCCCCAGATTCAATTTAATTGTGTGAAATGACAACATCTGACCTCATGGCTGTTTCAGAGGGATGACATGGAGGCTATCCCAGGTTACCTGTCTCTGCACCAGAATGCTGACATCATGACCCTGAAGTGGACGCCCAATCAGCTCATGAACGGCTCTGTTGGAGACCTGGACTATGAACGCAGGTGCAGAATTATCCAGCTGCACATGTATTGTGATTATGGTGATTGTGTCCACAAAGCCTGTGTTTGATAATATTAGTAATCCTCATATTATGAATATCTCTCATGTATTATGCTTACTCAAAGACATATAAACACTTATTTCTTTACCTTTTCTTTAACACTTGGGTGTTACTGAATAATTCAGCAAGCTGGTGTGTGGCTCAGGAACTCAGTATGCAGCTGATCTGGAGAAGCTTATTTTCAGCACACCAGCAGCCAGCAGATGGTTTATTGACCGAGACATCAGTCAGACATCTTTCAAACCAGCAAACCGTGTTATGTTCCTGTGCCTGTGCATGGTTTCTCTCACCCAAAAAATGGATTATTGTATTAGCCAACTTACACGCCTGCTCGTCTGTGCGCACACTCTTGGCTACTTTCTTTATTAGCTATAAATTAATGTTCCTTGACATTTTGGCTCACGGATAATATGTTAACATCTCCTTTGGATTTGTTTTTTCACTTTTAGCTGGTCCACCCGGTTTGCTAAGACTAGTCTGGGTTGTTATTTTACAAATTATTTATCTGATCACATTTCTTTCAGTGTATACTGGGACTATGCCATGACGATCCCTCTAGAGGAGATAGTTTACTTACACTGTCATCAACAAGGTGGGTCGACCCAGTCCTTTACCTTTAAACCAGAACTCAGTGTTGAGTCATGATCATGAATTAGTCGACAAAGAAATCATCTCTCATATATCTTCTGTAGTTGACAGTGGGGGGACGGTGGTGCTGGTCAGTCAGGATGGGATCCAAAGACCTCCACTTCGCTTCCCCAGAGGTGGCCACTTGCTCCAGTTCCTCTCCTGCCTGGAAAACGGTCTGCTTCCTCACGGCCAGCTGGACCCCCCACTCTGGTCCCAGAGGGGAAAGGTCAGCACAGGAGGTCTCTCTTTGGGGTCGCTCTCTGGCTTTAAATGCAGAAGATAAATTTTACATATTAGGCATTCTTTCTAGAAAAAGACAAACTAAACGAGCCTTTATGTGATCAATAAATCAATAAAAAAGACATTTGGATTTGGAAATATACGCACTACCTGGTTGTATTCATTGGTTGGACTGCTACTGATGAATGCGTGGCTTAATGTTCTCTCAGCACCGACACACAAGAAGTGTCTACTTTAATGAATGGATGTATCTGCAGCTAAACCGAATAATGAAAACCACCCACGCATGTTCAACCACTATTAATAAGCTTAAGCATACAGACACTCAACCTCTTTATTTTACACGGATGGCCTCGACCGGGCTCTAATGGTTAATAATGTTTCACTGTTGGCATTAGTTTAATAACCATTATATTCTCATCGCAGGGAAAGGTGTTTCCCAAGCTGCGGAATAGGGTTCCTCAGGGATCTGGATCCACAGACTCGGTCTCGGATAAGGAGGAGGACGAGGCCACAGACTATGTCTTCCGCATCCTCTTTCCAAACAGCCAGTCAGAATTTGGTGAGATTTCCTCCAGAGAAGCAAATTAATATGAGCAGCGCCCACGGGCCTCGCCAGACTGTTGCATTTTTATGAAACTGTTGCTCATTGTTTGTTACAGTGACTGTAACCCATCCTCCCCATCTGACTTCCTCCCTCTCCCTTCAACTGAGCGGACAGTCCCCCTCCAAAACAGGAACCCTGGTTGTACCCAAGAGGTCCTGCAGCTGTCCTGAAGAATCCCCCTCACTCACAGGAAGCAGCTGTAACACTGTCACACTTCGGCTCGTTAGTCCGTCTGTCAGCTTGCCTTGCTTTAATTCCCTGCCTCTAATATCCTCCTGGCCTGTCCTGCGCCTCTGGCAAACTTTATTGATGTGTCCTGTTATTAAAGCCCCTTTCACTCCCTGCCAACTTGTGTTACACCTTTTTTACTGCATTAAAGCGCAGTAACCTTTTAACAGCCGATGGGTGGACAGCTGATTGATCGAATATGGCTTCCCAACTGAAAGCGTCTCTTGCTCAATTAATCTTTCTCTCTGTAATAATGTAGCTGCGTATGATGGCTTCATGCTTTCAAATTGTGCATCAATTCCAGATTGCACAAATGTTTTTGTTTATGTGCTTTATCTTTGCTCTAACAGGAATCAAACACAAACACATTATGCTCTGAAGTGCTTTCAGCAGATCACAATTGATCATCATAATTCTGCTTATGCGAAATGTCTCCAGCTGTGTTTAAATCATCGAAGTGCAAATGTAATTGTCCTTGAAAGCTTGAGCAGCATAATGCTTTTTAAGTGACAATGACGGTTTGTGTGTGTGTGTGTGTGTGTGTGTATGTGTGTGTGCATGTTGCAGTGACTCCACCAGACTTGATGGATCATGGAGCTTCAATGTGGCATCCCACTCTCAGGAAGTCCTCGTGTTCCTCTTGTTCTCAGGGGAGCTACTCTGATGGGGCAACACCCAAGGGGTGCAACCATGAGAGGTGAGAGATAAACACACTTCAAGCTAGACTGAGTTGTGTTAGATTGTGACAGGGGAAACTGCTGAAGGCTCCTGAGACAAACAAGCTCACCTGACATCCCTTAGTGCCGAACAGAAATCCACAACAATACAGACCAAACTGGGAAAGAAGCAAAGATACAAGGCCTTAGTAATTACCCAGAAGACAATTATGTGACATTTACCTGACTGATGTGTTGGGAAAATGAGGTGATAAGCAAAGCATCTAAAATGGTCGGAGGGTGTGAAACAAAAGGTAAACCTTTTGTTCTATATGGCAGCGCAATAGGTTATTATTTGAATGATAGAAATTTGCTCCAACACGGTAATTAACTCTACATTATCTCTCATACATTCAGGACGTTATGAATATATTCTCATGCACTAGATGATTAGTTTGATTGTAATCTTTTGAGGAAAGAGAACAGAATAGTTGCATTAAATGTTTTACACTCTGTGCTGTATCTTCCTGCAGGGCTCCTCTGAAGCTGCTGTGCGACAACATGAAGTATCAGATCATCTCTCGGGCATTTTATGGCTGTATGTATGATTGCTTATTGTGTACACTGAAAACCTTAAATATTTGTACCTATTCACATTCACTATGACAGTGTCATAGTAGAACATAATATTTTTAATGATCATTAACATCTGCAGAGGCATTATGTAATTAACTGTATTGTCAACCAGGGTTGGCATACTGCCGTCACCTGTCCACTGTGCGTACACACCTTTCTGCTCTCGTCAATCACACCATTGTGGCGCCTGACGTGCCGCGCGATGCCTACAAAGGGCTGACCACAGACGTGTGGCAGACGTTCCTCCAGGACTGCACAGTAAGCATCGCTGGTGTCACAGCACTGCAACACAAACTTCACATTGCTGCTGACAGTATGCCATCCACACACACTCACACACATGCATGCCTGCTCCCAGGCTCTCTCTTTCACTCTGTCACTCTTCTGTCTCATCCATATTCATCCTCTGCTACTCATGTGGCTCACACAATTAGTCTCACAACAGTGTGCATGATGCATGGCTAATGGACCCATCAGTCTCAAAGTCCACGTCTACCGTCTACAGTTTATCTGGACACAGGTTACATTTACCTGGAGATTTTGACCTGAACATAAAAGAAATGTTTATACATGTTTTATAAGCAAATATTTTTCTTAAAACTGTCTTTTTATAATGGCAATGGGTGGAAAAACCCCAAAAAAGGTCATTTTTGACTGTCAAACACTAGTTTGACAAAAATGCTTCTCACGATTAGGAGTCGGCTAAAAGAAAAGTGTTTAAATTTAAAAAGGATTACTCTTTTACTCTTTCTTTAAACAATTATTTTATTCATTTACTTACTTTAGAGCTACCTGATAAAACCCAAACAAATCTGTATAAAAATGTAACGTATATGGAGGAACACCAATTAAGCCTTTAAGGATGTCTTTGATCTGCAGTTACATCTGAAATTAATAAATAATACAGAGCACGTACATACTGTTCAAGAACAGTTGGGAGATGCACCAGTGCCCGTAGTTTTCTCCATCTGCCACCCTCCTGGATGCATTAATCTTCTTCATTGATAGAGTAAAAGTTACTATGCCTCTGTCTATAGGCTGCCATGCTGTTGTATTGAATTTTTAACGAATGATGAGTGATAATTGTCTTTCTAAAAGAGGGAGAAAATCCAAAGATTTACCAAAAAGCAACTACTGAAGTGAAGGACTGTATGCTTTGTCTCTTCAGGCATACGAGGAGAAGGAGCTGCTTCGTCTGGTCTACTTTGGTGGTGTGGACGCCTCGCTGCGTAAAGAGGTGTGGCCTTTCCTGCTGGGTCATTATCAATTTGGGATGTCTGAAGCTCAGAGGAAGGAGGTTTGTCATTTCCGCGATTGTGACTTTGCTCCCTAAACCATCTTCCACCTGAACCTCTGACCCTTGATCCCTCGTTCCCTAAAACCCAGGTGGATGAACAGGTCCGAGTGTGCTACCAACAGACCATGCGTGAGTGGCTCGGATGCGAGGAGATTGTCCGCCAGCGGGAGAAGGAGCAGCATGCAGCAGCGTTAGCGAAGTGCTCGTCTGGAGCGAGCATGGACAGTTCAAGTCAGAAGATGATCCACCATGACTCCACCGTCAGCAATGAGGTGAAGCAGTAATACGCAACTCAGAAATGTTTATTTACTATGTAGGGTGACACTTTGAAAAGGAATCAGCTGTTGATGTTGTTATCTTGTGTCTTCAATCAGAACATTATAGGAAACATTACAGTATATAGTCTGAATTAGGCCAATTTTATAAATAAATGTTGGTCTGCTAGCTATGGGCAATACTTCACAGCTTGTGAATACTGTTGTTTAAGGTAGCTATAAAAGATGCATTTTAAAGACATGGGCATTTACTAGGCTTAGACTGTCTGGAAAAAAAAAGCTATTGGTTGAATTATGGGAAATGTAAAATCCAGGGTCTTTTGGGTTTGACTCATGCTAGGAACTTCAATTTTTCTGACTACTAAATCACTGGAGAATCCCTTTTAAAGTGAACACAGCACATGAGCCAAAGAACAATAAGACTGTATGT